TTTGGGGAGTGGGACCCCCAGGACCCCTGTGAGCGAAGAGGAGGGGCGCTGATGATGTCACCAAGGGTGGGGGGGGACAGCGATGATGTCACCAGGGTGTGTGTGACACTGATGATGTCACCAGGGTGTGTGTGATACTGATGATGTCACCAGTGTGTGTGTGTGTGTGTGATACCGATGACATCACCAGGGTGTGTGTGACACTGATGATGTCACCAGGGTGTGTGTGACACTGATGACGTCACCTGTGCGTGTATGTGACACCGATGACGTCACCAGGGTGTGTGTGTGACACTGATGACGTCACCAGGGTGTGTGTGTGACACTGATCACGTCACCTGTGCGTGTGTGTGACACTGATGATGTCACCAGGGTGTGTGTGACACTGATGATGTCATGGGGGTGTGACACTGATGACGTCACCAGGGTGTGTGTGTGTGACACTGATGACGTCACCTGTGCGTGTGTGTGACAGCGATGACGTCACTGTCCCCAGGCCATGGAGTGCGGGACGCCCCCTCCCCCCTCGGACGCCTGGACCGTGGTGCGGCGGCGGCGGCGGCGCTGATGGGGGGAGGGGTGTCCTGTGTGTCCCCTCCCCCACCCTGCTCCCCAAACTGGGGGGAATAAACGCCCCTCCCCCCACGGGGGTGTGGGAACAGAGGCCGTGTGGTTCTTGGGGAGCCCTCCCAGTATAACCCAGTATAACCCAGTATACCCAGACCCCCCCAGTATAACCAAGTCCCTCCCAGTACAACCCGGTCCCTCCCAGTATAACCCAGTATAACCCCGTATAATGCAGTATAACCCAGTACCACCCAATATAACCCAGTATAACCCAGTACAACCCAGTGCCTCCCAGTATAACCCAGTATAAGCCAGTCTTCCTCCAGTATAACCCAGTCCCTCCCAGTATAACCCAGTCCCCCCCAGTATAATCCAGTATAACCCAGTACAACCCAGTCCCTCCCAGTATAACCCAGTTCCCTCCCAGTCCCTCCCAGTGCCGCCGCCCTTCACCCAGCCCCGCCCATCATGGCGGCGTCTCTGAGGGCTCCAGGGAAATGAGGGGCGTGGCTTTCTCACCGCGCGCTGTGATTGGTCGCCGCTTTGCATGCGCGCGAACCCCTTTAGGCCGCGCTCACGCGTTGATTGGTTGGCGAGGACGGCGGCGAGCGGGGATTGGTCAGCTGGACTCAAACTGGGCGGGCGCGGGTGCTGATTGGTGGCCGCCGCTCGGGTGGGCGGGGCGAGGCGGGAGAGCGGGAAGAGGCGGCGGCGATGGCGGCGCGGCTGGAGCGCGCGCGGGGGTGAGCGGCGACCCCTGAGGGCAGCCCGGCCGCCATCTTGGGCCGGGGGCGGCCCGCGCCCCCCTGCGCGGGTCTCGGGGGATCCCCTGGGTGCCATTGGGGTCCCTGAGGACTCTCCGGGTTCTTGCGGGGTCCTTGGGGCGGCGCTCAGCCCCACACGGGGCACCGCGGTGTCCCGGTGCCCTCACGCCTCCCCCCCGGGCTGTGGGGAGGAAGGGTCCCCGAGGGGTCTCCTCATCCCCACGCGTGTCCGAGGAGGGGTCCCGCTTGTCTCCATGTCCCCACGCGTGTCCCCAGGGCGCTGGCGGCGCTCGAGGCCGCCCTGGCCGTGGAGGAGGAGGAGGGTGATGTCCCCACCCTGGTCCTGGTGGAACATCAAATGGTGAGAGCCCAAAACCGCCCCACAGCGCCTCAAAATACACCTGCAGCACCCACATCTCCCTCACTGCCCCCCGACACCCCCACATCTCTTCTGAATTTACTTCTAACCCCCCAAATCTCTCACAGCTCCCTCATCTGACTTTGAGGCACTCCCACATTTATCCCCTAAACCTCCCTGACTGCTCCGTTCTCTGCCCTCCTCTTTGCCCTTATATTTTCCCAAAACTTCTGTCCTTTATTCCCGCATTCTCTGCTCCGCACCCCATTTTTGCCCCACACCTGTCACAGCTGCTCCGTGCCCTCCCCCCAAGCCCTCGGCACCCCAAATCCCCCCGTGGTCCCCTGACACCCCAAACCTGTCCCAGGACACCCGGAGGAAGCAGAAGCTGCTCCTGTCCCAGCTCCGGGTGCTGAAGCTGCTCCTGGGGGTCATCGAGAACCCGGGGCTGCCCCTGGCCCCCTCCAACCTCCGTGAGCCCCCCAAACTCATCCCAAAACCCCCGGGCCCCCCAAAATGAACCCCAAAAACTTCTGATCTCCTCAACCTGTGGGATGACCCTGAACCCCCTGATGCTCCTTGGTCGGGTTTGGGGGTTCCCGGGTTGGGTTTGGGGCAGGGATTTGGGGGTTCCCGGGTCGGGTTTGGGGGTTCCCGGATCGGGTTTGGGGCAGGGATTTGGGGGTTCCCGGGTCGGGTTTGGGGGTTGGTTTTGGGGGTTCCGGGGTGGGGTTTGGGGGTTCCCGGGTCGGGTTTGGGGCAGGGATTTGGGGGTTCCTGGGTCGGGTTTGGGGCAGGGATTTGGGGGTTCCCGGGTCGGGTTTGGGGGCTCCTGGGTCCCCGTGGGGAGGGAGCTGAGGGGATATTTGGGGGTTCCCGTACACCTGAGTCCCCTTTGGGGGTTCCTGGGGCCCTTTTGGGAGTTGCTGGGACCCCTTTGGGAGAGGTCGGTGACTCCCAGGTCCCTTTTGGGGTCTCCCCGGTTTTGGGGGGCTGACGTTTGGGGCTCCCCCAGGCGAGGCGGCGGCGCAGGCGCGGGGGCGCTGGCGGGAGCTGAAGGCGAGGTACGGGGGGGCCCTGGGGGTCCTGGGGGAGGCCGTGCCCCCCACCCTGGCCCAGCTGGAGCGGGGCCGGCAGCTGCTGCAGCGCGGGAGGGCGGCCCTGGGAGCACGGCTGGAACAGGTACGGGGGTCCCGTGTGGGGCTGGGGGCTCAGTGTGGGGGTCAGTGTGGGGCTGGGGGCTCCCCTGAGCGCTGCCCCTCGCCCCCCCCAGCAAGAGGAGCTGCAGGTGAAGCTGCGCGAGGCCACAGAGAGACGGGACCAGGTGAGGTTGGGGGGCTCCCCCGGGGGTCTCCCTCACCTTGGGGTGCCCCTGACCCCAGGGGGGACATTTGGGGGTTCCCTCCCGTTTCAGCTCTGAGCCCCTTCCCCACAATTCGGGGTCTCCCCCCCAATTTCGGGGTCTCTCTCCCACAAGTTGGGGTCTCTTTTCCCCCCAATTTCGGGGTCTCTCCCCCAGCTGCTCCGGCGGGTTCAGGAGCGGCGCCTGCAGCGGCTCGAGCGGCAGGGGGGGCTACAGGAGCTGCGGGGGGCGGCGGCCAGGTGAGGGGGGAGGGGCCAG